TGAGAAACTGAAAGTGTAAATAAGGACTAAAAGGTATAATAGATAATGTGAAATAGGAAGAAAAGGTGCAAAGGGGAAGGGCAAATGTGAGGAGTAGGGGAAAAGAAAGAAGCGAATGGAATTAATATGAAGGAAAAAAAAGGAAACAAAGTCTTTGTAAATAGGGAGGGGTGGAGGCATTCAAGGGAGGGCAGGGGAACAGGGAAAAAATAAGAACCAAGATGCATTATGTAAAGACGCAAATTTCCAATGATGAATGTCATTATATTGCATATCTTAAATGTACCGATATATTTAATAAAAAATTTTTAAAAGTTGGTATTGGGCAAAATGGTGATGCAGAGTGTGTCTTTCAGTCTTTTCCTCATCTCAAAGACATTTTATACACACATTTCCACCCAGACTCCCTCTGTTTATTTTTATTCTGACTGCAACCTATAGTATATTTCTTATCACTTAAAAACTGATCTATTCCTGCACTATCCTTCTCCTCTCTCTACAAGATGATAAATGAATGAAAATTATTTGTGTCAACGAAGTATGTGGAGGTTAACTAGACAGTGTGCTATCATTTCTTGGTAAAACACCTTTAATTAATGAGAATATAGTGTTTCTCAGACATAGTAATCAGAATCACTGCGGGATAATTAAACACACTTTGCTGTGTTCGATCCCTCAAGTTTCTGACTCCACAGGTCTCAGATGAGGCCCAACAATTTGTGTTACTTTATCAATGTTGCCAGTCCTTTAAGAACTGAGTGAAAAATGATACACCGTGTTAGGTTGCTGTACTGAGATATTTGACTAATAAGCAGGTTTTCTATTTAGCATATAATTAGGACCAGCTGCGTGGCCCTACACTTGGAACACAATATTTTTAAATTATGAGCTTACTGTATGTAACACATAAACAAGCAACTTACAGTAAACATCCTTCCAAAGCACAAAACTATACTCATCTGAAGCCAATTTCAATGTATATTTGTGCTTTTAACTAGACCATCTAGAATATTTAGATTTTTAAGATATTATATTGAACAAATGTTTCTTAAAATCCCTTTTCATATAAACAGGTGTCTCATGTCCTTCTTCATGTACTCTTGCATACAAATACTTTCATGTTTGCTATGTAACTTATAATGCTCAAAATTGAAGTTAGTATCATATTACCTAAAATTCTATGATACTAGACTCCCTCTTACAGAACAATTTTGGCATATAATTGTCAAATATCTAATAAGTAAAGCTTTTGAAACTTTTCCAAATTATTATAGTTTTCCACTGTATATTTTATTGGATAGTTCTTTAATTCATGTTCAAAACAGAAATTAATAATAAATCAAATAAATACAGATTTTTTCTATGCAACAAACTTACAATCATTAATTATCCGTCTGTACAATGCCACCAGAAAATATTATCAGGGTTTCTGACAAAGAATAGAATAACATTTTTGATATAGTTGTGTTATATTTTGGTAAGACAATAGTTAAACAACAGTTATAATCATAAGTAATACCTGGTGTGAATTCACTCAATAGTTAAGGTATGTTTAAAGCTAGCATAATTTTTTGATTCATTAGGTTAATTGGAGCATTTTAGGTATACATCATGTTCGCATTCATTATTGGGAATTTGTACCTGTACATGGTATATCTTAGTTCTTATTTTTTCCCATTCAATTTCCCTCCCCTTCCATCTATCCACCCCTCCCTATTTACAAAGATTTTGTTTCCATTTTTTTCTTTCTCTTTTTTCCTTTCCCCCACCCTCTTCCCTAATTCTCCTTCACCTTTGAACTTTTTCATCCTATTTCACAAAGCTAGCACAATTTTTGATTAAATAACCCTTGTTAATATTTTAGTAGTACGGATTTAGGTGTGGAAATATATATATATTATATATTATATATATATAATATATATATGTGACAACTCTTTAAAGGCTATTTTAATATATGGAAAATTGTTAAAATAGCACATTTTATAGAATAATAATGGGATTGGTATATTATAAAATATTCAGAGAAAAGTGCCCATTTTTTTAATCAGAGAAAAAGCATGAAAAAACCACAATGCTTCCTAGGCAAGTTTTTACTGGATTATATTATTTTTAGATTCCTAATTTCAATCATTCAATTCTTTTCCACCATTTCATTTCCAAAATTCTTCCTTCTATCATTATTTATTTGTAAGTAGTAATTTAGTTTTTAAAAATCTGCAATAGAAAAACTATCATTGAAAGAAAGAAAATAACATGTTTGTGAAGGAATCTATAAATTCTGAACAATTTGCATTTACCATTATTTCATCAATTTTGCAGCAATCATGTCCTAAATAAATAACATAATCAGTATTCCTTTCTTCACCCAAAATATCCCTATTTTATCTCACATGACAGACTATGAAGCTATTTCCAGTTTTAAACTATATATTTTATATTCATTATTAATGTAGAAGAACAAGCAATTTCAATAACTTGACAATTTTGTTAACCTGCTCTTATATTTAATATTTCAATAAGGCAATACTTCTAACATGTCTAATTTTCATCATCACGAAACATTATCATGGAATAAACTAAAAATAATATAAAGTCACGACATATTTGGATGCAAAATACATAGATCATTTTAGTTTAGGTTAAATAATAATACTCCTTGTTCCCATAGGGTACATGGTAAAATTCATGATAAGAAGCTTTATGCCAAAAAATATTCCATCAGATCCTTTATGAAGTATGAACTATATGAACTTATATGACATCAATTCCATTATAATTTTAGGTTTCTAGCATTATGTATCTTCAACCTTAAGAGAAAAAATAACTGTTGATATTGAAGCATTTCAAGAAACAATTACTTGTGACATTTAGTCAGCTAGTGAAAAAAAGAAATTAGATAAATTAGATATGTTTTCCAAATATAAGTGCAAAAAACCTGAAGATTTAGTGAATTAGATATAAAGTCTTAAGTATTAGTAAGCTCTCACAAGAGTGAGAGCTGTGATGTTATTGCAGAGATTTGGTGATATGGTCCACTGTTCACCTGAGACCACCAAACAGAATTCTTAAACCTGCTTCATATCTTAGTTTTCAGTCACTGAACAGTTCCTTAGAGTGTACTTCTGTTCAGCTGAGATACTGTATTATGGTATCTTTCAAACTGCACTTACAAAATCTGTGAATAAAAACACAGGCAGCATTTCCCAAAAAATAAATAAATAGCAGATATTTAAATGCTTTGGAGTATTCCCCATTATACACATTCCACAGTAACCACACATAATGTGTCTGCATATTATCTTCATAGGAAACGTATATTTGCTATTTTTGAAACATTTCTTACCTGTCAAGTTCTTTAATCCAAGTTCCTGAAGTCCGAAGTTTCCATCTTTCCTGTAGTTTAGAAATATTGCCAAAGCATATCTATCTTCATAAAGTTTTGTCCCACGAATAATCCGTAAATTCTCCAAAGGCAGGTAACGAAACTGGTTAAGAGCCACTAATACATAGCCGGTGACTTCTCGGATAGACTGAAAAGACACAAACAATTGTCTGTGTTAAAAAAACATTACATCAATTTGTCAGTATGTGCATGTAGTCATTTAAATTAAATGAATTATTTAACTCTAATTTTCAGTTTTTAATTTAATGCACTAATTCACACATCATATTCTTATTCCACACCATATTCATATTCACATTTGGTTATTATACATGATCACAAAGTGGGAGATCTCTTTTGAAGTGCAAGTTTTAATCCTTTTAAAAAGCCAAGGATGTGAGAAAAACAAAACAATGGATTTGTTGTGTGAGACATATCTCATACCTGAGATTGGAATGCAGTTAAAGGAATAGAGGTCTCATTCACTGATAAGAGTACAATTATGTAAGGACACATAACTATCAATCAACTTTTACATGAAAAGCAAATTGGTAAGCTTATCACAAGTAAAATAGTGCTGCATTAGTTTGTAGACTTTCAGACAGATTTAAAGTGGTTATGTTTCTGTTTAGTGCTGCATTTATCAAAGAACATTAGCCCTCTATATCTATGGGGAACACATTTAAAAACAACATGTATTAAAAAAGAGAAAGAAAAAAAATGAGAAAAGGAAAAATGGAAACAAAGTCTCTATAAATAGGGAGGGTTGGAGGGGTGGAAGGGAGGGCAGGGGAATGGGAAAAAATAAGAACCGAGATACATCATGTACAGGTACAAATTCCCAATGATGAATGTAATTGTATTGTATACCTAAAATGTACCAATACATTTAATGAAAAAAAGAAACTGATTGTCTCTAAATTCATTATAACCACATTTTTTAAAATTTTTACTATCTACTATTTAAATTTAGTTTA